CGCTCGACGACTTCTCAGAACCACGGCCGTGCTCATCGCTGGACGACTTCTCAGACGTGCGGCCGTGTCACCGCTCGACGACTTCTCATGACCCGCGGCCGCGATCATAGGTCGACAACTTCTTGAACCCGCACCCATGCTCATCGCTCGACGAGTTCTCGGATCCGCGCCCGTGCTTGTCGCTTGATGACTTTTTGAACCCGCGGCCGTGCTCGTCGGTCGACGACTTTTCCGACCAGCGGCCGCGCTCATCGGGCATAGATGAAATGCCATCAGTAACTGCCAGTACAATTCAAGCTCGGTCGGAGCCTCGTTACATACCGCCACAAGCTTCTCATGAGTGCGCAGAGGCAGTGAAAGCCTCGCTCAAATCCGTTTCGGCAACTGAGCGAAAAATGAAGTTTCGTTGGGAGAATGAGCAATGCACTGATGTGGAACTGGCAGAAGAGTTTTTGCTTGCACAGCTAGCAGCAATAAATGCCTTAAAGATGTTTTGTGCCCAAGATGCTTTCAATGTAAACTTCTTTATTCAAACTTCTTCGTCTTCATTTGGGGACAAGGTATGGTTTGGCAGCACGAATGATATTGAACTGCAATAGCTGTGGCATTGTGTCCACCGAGTGGTCATCTTCAAGAATGGAGGGGGGCAAGGCTTTTGATGTTTTTTTTTTTTGCCTACACCACAAAACTTTTCCAAAACGTTTGAAATTAAAGTTCAAATCTTTCAGTGAAATGGCTGCAGCAAGTGTTTTTGCAGATTCTGTGACAGCTGTGCACTGTGTTTACAGCCAAATTAAGGAGACATTTAAGAATGTCACAGTAGTGTATGGTGGGACATGGATGACACGTGGTCATACATCTCGAATCTGGTTTGGTGCTTGAATGTGTCGTTCTCTTCAACAGATGCCATGGCTGCGTACTTCGGCCAAAAGAAAATGATGAGGGCTATAAGGATTTGAAAGAGGCCCATGTTTGTCGAAAAAACATCAACGTAAATTCAGGCCAAATGGAGATCGAGGCTGCACTAATTTTGTTTAGAAGGTCGCTGGATAAGAACGACCTCCGGTACACATTCATTGCTTGTGATCGTGACAGTCATACTTTCTTGGCTCTTTTTGAAGAAAGAACATACGGCTTCATTCTATTGGCAAAAGAAGTTTGCATAAATCAGGTAAAAAAGAAGATGGGTTCAGCTCTGCGAACAGTTGTAGCAAGAAGTAAGAAAAATAAACCCATTGGAGGAAAGGGTGGCCTGACTTAAAAACTAAATAAAATACTAACGAATTATTATGGGATGGCCATCTATGACAGCACTGAAGTTGATGACATGCAAAGAGCCATAATGGCCACGTTTTCTCACATCACCTCGAGAGATGAAGAGCCGCACCACAAATTGTGTCCACCTGGACCACTGAGCTGGTGCAAGTACCGTGCTACAGAAGTTGAAGGCAAGGCTCCACCACCGCACAAGTATAAACTGGCAGCACTTGTTGCAGCTGCATTGCTGCCAGTCTACCAATGCCTTTCTGACCATCAGTTGCTAAGTCGTTGCCAAGGCAAGAAAACTCAAAACGCAGCTGAGAGTCTCCATCCAGTAATTTGGTCTATTCTTCCTAAAAAACAAAATGCTTCATTGGTTACCGCCAAAGTGGCTGTGAATAAGGCCATCTGCAAGTACAACTGTGATGCTTTTCATTCTTATTGACAGTTTTGTGCATTGCTCGGCCTGAAACCTGGAAAGCACTTCATTCACAGAGCTGCAGAGAAGGATACAGAAAGAAAAAGCATCAAAAGTGCACCAAAGCAAGCAATAAATGCCCAAGAGGCCCCACATCACAAAGGACACTAAGAACTATGATCCAAATGCATTTTAGATAAGTGGAGGCAAAGAAAGACTTCTCGAGCCGTTTTCTCAAAAGTGTTTTTTTTTTTTTTGCCTACCTGCTGAGATTGCGCAGCCATTTTCATTGTAACCGTTTGGCCTATCTTGATAGTTTTTTTTTTTTGCCATATTCCTTGGACTTCAATGTATGTCGTGACACACTTTCTTTCTTAGTTTGACACTGCAATTTTACAATGTGACTAGTTGTTCATTCCTTGAGTGTGCCTTGTGTGAAGGTTGCAAAAAGAATCGCAATACAAAAATTTTGTGTTGCAACAAAAATAAAGCAGGCTAGTCATGACACTCAGCGTGCATTCAGCTGTACAGCAAATATTCTTTTAGCCTTCTAGTGCATTTTTTAAACTTTCCAGGTTGTGAATTGTGCTAAGGACTGCTAGTAGTAAAATTTTTTTTAAATAAAAAGTTCTGAAGATGCTTTTCTGAAACTTTAAAGGAAGCATTAGGAAGACATGCTGAATATTTCTGCCAATTTTAATCAACATCTGCTTAGTTTATCCCCCGGCTTCTCGGCAGTCTTTTCTGTCAATTGCGTGTCGCGTGCGGGTGTTCTCGTGTCGCGCGAATACTCTTTACCCTCTATCCGTCTCTTACCTTTTTTCTTCTCTCCCTTTAACTTTCATCCCCCATTTCCCGCGCAGTGCTGTTGAGGTGTCTTTTATAAAAAGAGACAGTAATGGCACCACACTTATTTCTTCCTTTTTTCCTCTTTCAACACACTTGCAAACAAGAAGCAGAAAACAAGTTTTTTTGTATAGGTAGAAGAAAGCGAATGGCCGATCTTTTTATTTTTTACCGGGTGTGTATGCACATTACACGGGTGCGTCGGCTGGTTATTTATTCTATACCTATTCTTTTCCAGCAGAAGTGGGCAGAAGAGGCTGAACCTTGCGTATGCTACGAGTGTCTCGTTATCTTTCGCTTGTGTTTTAAGTGTATCATTACGCCCATCAGCACACAAAAGTGCCCTTCGGAACACAGTACCTGTGCATGCACAGGTTACATAGAACCGAAAGGCATAAGTTGGCAATTGGCATCAGTAAAAGCAATTGACAAGTGAGTATGGAGAACAATAGTATTTATTAACAGGGAACCAGCAGTGATGTTTTAATGCAAAAAATAAATCTATCGTGTCAGGCCCATTATCGAGAGTTTGCAAACTACTTGCCTTTGTCTTCAAAGGCAAAACAAACAAAAAAGCGTGTTTCGCTTGTGGGAACTATTATTACAAAAGAGTCGTAAAAATCAGGGTAAGGTGCTTCTAAAAGCTTCGAATTTCAGCTATTGCTTTCGTCGAGTACGGCTCAACACCCCCATTTTTCATTGCCTTACGACATATTCCGGTGAAGCCATAGTTGGTTCTAGTTCACTATAGCTGAAGCCGAGGGCACAGGAGGGGGGGGGGGGGGGTGTCGCAAGTAAATAACGTTGGAGTGAAAGTCGAGAGAAGCGCAAACATTCTAATATGTGCAGGATCAGCACAGATGTACATAGTGCACAAATACATAACACTGACCGCGGTAACAGGGCCTAACAGGGAGTGAAATCATTAGAATCACCGACAAAAAATAACAAATATGTGTGCCTTGGCAAAAGAAATCTACATGCAATTGCCGTCGAACTTGCAGAAATCAATGCCTTCACCGGTATGACAGTTCCTCCAGCACTATACAGTAGTACAGCAACTATACCTACAACAACTGCAGTGGCTTACATGAGTGAGTAAAAAATGCAAGAAAGAACAGCCGAATAGCCGTGGCGCATGTTTTCCATTTCGTCACTGTCACCGATAAGAGAATCTATTGTAGAAACCACATGGCACCACGATTGCTAAACAAATGTAATGCCCTAAAGTACTTCGCACAATGCGGAATTCAATTTTTACCTTTCAATTGTGTAGAAAATAGCACTTTTTTTGTGAAAACGGTGGCTCCCTTTCACTTTTGAGCGTACTACGGTGCCTCTAGCGAAATTTTTGCCATTCCCGAGGGCAGATTTTAACGGGGCCACTGTGGTTCTTCTTCAGCTGTTGATCTTTTCGCCCCTCTTCAGTGATGGGTGAAACTTGAGACTTTCAAAGGCCTAACAGAGTTAGCTCGCAATGGCAAATGCTTGCAACAGCACGGTATTGCAGGCAGAACAGCGTCAATGTGATGATTGCAGGAATAGATTCGCTGGGGTGAACGTCTGCTGTCAGCGAGAGTTTCTCCTGCGGCACTTTGACTTTGGCTGCGACATCTGTGACAGCTTGTGGTTCGAGAACAACCACCGTGAATAATGCACTACAAAACACTTTTAGCCGCTGTTTACACTCCTTCATTAGCGTGATCATAAGAGGCACAATGTGCGTCATGTGAAATATACTGTGGTAAACCCAAATAATAAGAGTGTATGAAGCACGAACATGTAACCAATAACTCTGAAAGGCTTCACTGCAGCGTCAGCTTGAACCCCCTGCTAAAGACTGGGACAGCGTGTTTCAGCTTTCCCTGGCTAACCATCTGTATGGAGTGTTTGGGTAGCAATTTTTTGTTGCTTCTTTTTTCTCTCGTTCTTTATTACTCTGAACATGTATCTGCTTTGTTTATGTGGTAAGTTTTGTGTTGCTACCCTTATTTCATTCTATACTTATAATGTTGCCTCCCTTTTTTGATGATGTTTTTTTGTACCTTGTTTTTGCCATGCCACTACTGCTTGGGCCCTTCTGTCTGCAGTATGTCTTAATTAAAAAAATAAGTATTTAGGTGGTAGGTAATTCAAGTTGTTAGACGTGCATGGGCATGAAATAATTATTGGCATGAGATGCATGCAGTTTTTTATCAATATGAGACGAATAATTGATGGTACTCAAGTAGGCTTGCTGCTTAACAACAAATCGTGGTAAATTTTTCAGCAGTAACAAAGACCTTTCGTGGACACAAAATCACCTAGTTTTTTTTTTATTAGTTTTGTGCTGGCTGTAGTTTAGTGTCATTGTGGAACAGACATTAAGTGTGATTGCTTCGAAAAGAGCATCAATGTCTAGGCAATCAAAATTCACGTCTGACATATACGGACAGCTCAGCACCAAAAGTTAATGCTCATCTCTTGTGCTTCGCAGCTTTTCAGCGCCATGGAAAAAGCGATGCAAGCCTCTCAAGCGGCACAGATGCAGATCCTGCAAAACCTTCATGACAGGTATGTTTATTTTACTTTACAAAGTGCACAAAGGATGTTTGTGGTCTTAAATAGTAGATGCAACCAATTGTGGACAATTCGAAAATTATTTTTTATTGAAATTTTGCACCTCCATATTAAACATTGAGTGACTCCTTACTGTCCACCCGAACTAAGATTCTATTGCCCATCGCCACCGCTACCTTGGACTTGAAATCGTTTGGCAGTTTAACTCCTTTGCTGTATCAGCAGACTAGTTGTGCTACTTGTAGTGTTATCTGTCAACTTTCGTTTCGCTCTTTTTGTGGCGAAGCACCAACTGTGACCCGATTCTTGCCTCCACTTAGTCGAGCTTCGCACATTTGCAAAAAGGAAGCTAGTTGCTCCAGCTTAGAGAAGTGCCACTTTCGCATAGAACAACATGGTCATGTGCACACATTTTGTGCAGCTTTTTTTCCTATTGTATCGAATAAGTTTAGGCTACCATCACTCGATCCGCTGCTATACCATGCTAGCACTAGAGCGATACAGATGCTCACATGGAGCATTCGTTTCATCAAGGGTAAGACAGATGTTTGAAGCTGGCAAAAATCACTACAGGAGTGCGCTGTGGACAATCAAGTGACGAGGGGTGCATCAGAGCGGGTTTTGATGGTGGCTAAGATAGCAGCTCTTTTGGAGCGAAGCTCTGTCAGATAGGAGGTCTAATGAATGAGAGTTCTAGAAATGCTGACAGCTGAAATAAGAGGTCTGAGAGGGAACTCGTATAATAATTCTGACATTGCTCAGATGATAGCACATCGTACAAGGGGCACCACCAAGACTCCTTCTAGGGAAGCTTCGCTATTGTAATTGTCATACGTCCATTTTGATGTTTTTATCTGTTTGCCATGCCAAATGTCGTCATACCAGTGATGGAAGTGATTTTTAACCATTTGGAGCATTCTTTGGAGGGGGAAAATTACTGCTTTGTAGCATATATAAGCGTTTTCGGAGGAGAAAAGAGCTCTAATTTAGAATAGCTATTGGTGTTCTAGAAGCAGATAATAAATCGATCATACATCAACTGGAGTTCAGAGCATTGTAAAGCATCTCCTAAATATTATTATTTCTTACAAAATATATTTAACAAACAACAATCAATCTAAATTGCATGTAGCAAATAATGACAGGTTGTGAAAAATGTACTCTGAAATGAGCTTAAAAAAAATACTAGTACTATTTGTGGCAGAAATCATATGAAACTGAAAAGTGGAGTGCTACATTTTAGAAGTGACCACAGTACCATATAACTGTTGCCAAATAAGCAGTGGATCATCGGTATGAGATAAAAGCAATTATGCTCACTTTCAGGTTTTTCTCCACATTAGCCATCATGTGTAGATGAGGAAATAAATAGCCAAATGAGCTATATGCCTAATATGTCAATTCTTGTTGCACAAATGAGATCAGATCCAGTAATGCTGCACACTAGTAGCACACTGGGATGATAGTAAACAAATTATTTTAAGTTTCTTTAGGACTTATGAGTACGTCAGATAATGAAAGTTCATAATTCTCATTCCCTCAGTGTATTTCGGGGCAGGTTTGGAGCACCTGTTAACAAAATTTACTGTTTGGAGCAGTATCAGACAGCAATTATTCTAATTGCTTCAAACTGCTTTTTTTTTTAGTAGTTTGGAGAACTTGGAGCAGCACTCCCATTACTGCCATATCTTTGGAGCCCTCTTTGGCATTTTGACTCCAGCCTGCGTTCCAAACCAAATTATAGCCTAGAGCATTGTCATGAGTATGGGCAAAAGGAAAGTGAGCACTCACTTCCCAACTGTACATGATATTGATTTCATGGTTTTGAAGGTGCACTTTCTTACAAGCCAGATGGTCATGTGCATCTAGTGAAGACAGCCAACACAGTGCATGGCACTTAATCACTCCAGCAAAATGCACAGGTCAAAATTTAGTGATTACCCAAACCAATGGCAAAACATTATTACAAGCACCAAATATTTCATCAATTCAATTCTTGAAATGTGTATTTAAGTAAAACAAACGCAGATGCCTTTTGGTAGCTGCGAAAGGATTAAAGCATTCTTTTGGCCAAGCTTGCAACCGTGTCACTGTCACACAAAAACAGTGAACCCCTAAGCACAGGACGTGAGCTTATTTCATGATGAATCTATGCTTTTTTGTGCTCTTCTGTGATGAATTGACCAGCCCAGCAAAAACATTTATTTCAGAGACATACTTGTTTTCTAAATTTTGTTATTTGATCTTGTGTTAATCATCTATCTTGTTGCCTAATTATTTTGTATCTCCTTGTTAGGGCTGCAGCTCTATCAACGTGCTTATGACATCTTTTTTGCGTCTGCCTTGTACTTAAATTTCTGAGGCATTATTATTATTATTATTATTATTATTATTATTATTATTATTATTATTATTATTATTATTATTATTATTATAGTTAAAGAGTTCTCTTATAGTAAATGCACAACTTACAAATGCTTTCCGGTACTTTTCTAACAGGATGAGGCGCATCAATAAAGGATATAAAGGAGTAAAGAATTTGCTACTTTTTTTTTATAATGTCGGATGCTGTGCACACAGTAAGTTTTATTAATCAAGAAATGCAGAAATTTTCGTGCTTAGATAAATATGCCCGGGCAGGCACATAGCCAAAATTTTTTTTGGAGGGGAACCACCCTAATTTTGGGAGGGGCAGCCCTTTAAAATGGCCATTTCTTTCTATCTATGCCACGGCAAACAAAAATTTTTTTGGGGGGGGGCATGTGCCCGGTGTGCCGCCCCCTGGCTACGCCCCTGCGCTGGGATGACTAAATGAAATTCGTGCTTTCTCATAACCTCAAAATTTTATTCCAGCTACTTGAACCAGCACATAAATGCACTAATTCATTTAAGCGTGAGTGAGACGGCATATTTCCAGGCAGCTGTGTGAAAGCATCTAAAATGTACCCTGCTTTCAAAATAATAAATGAGTCAATACGAAGAGCAAACATGAGGCCTGTAGGTGCCCATGCATATTGCAGGGAGGTGAGTGAGCTGATGAAGCGGCTAGAAGCGCAGACGAAAGAGGAGATGCGTAACCTCAACAAAAAGCACAAGGACAAGAATGAACTAGACAGGTGAGTTGCATGCAAGCACACTGAAAAGCGGCATTTCAGGGGCCAGCACATCATCTACACCTTCATGATATTTTGTAAAATATTGATGTTATATACTTCAATCATTCAGCTGCAGCGCTCTTGATAAGGACACTGCAGATATTCGAAATATGTTTTTTAGCCTCGCTGAAAATGTACTTGTGGGCTAGTGGGTTGGTCATATTTACAATAGCTGGCGCACACCGGGTTGAGAGAACACAAAAATGATAACAAAAGTGCTTAACTTCAACAGATCTTATTAACAGCCACATTTGCTTAAAAGGTATCTTTATTCACGTACATACATCAATTGACTAGAGTAAATCCAAAGACAATTTCAACAGTAAGGAAACCCAGAGCCACAATCAATTCACAATGCTGGAGCGGAAGGAATCAAGATAGGAAAACCGAAAACCAACTACCAAAAGCACTAACGCATCACGCGTTAAAACCTAAAAACCTTCTCTCTTTTGATGATACAGCAACCGACAGGCAGCTAATGCAGTGGTCTCTTCTTTCAAAAATTTCTGCTGCTCCTAAAATTTCTTGCGGTTCTAAATTAAAGCCTTTAACTTTGTGAACGTGAAAGGTTCTGTCACGGAAAACACTAGAATTAGTCTGTAAAAAATATCAATGCGAAGTTTGCATGTCTTACTATTGCTCTAAGGTACATGATATTCTATGCCGTATGTAATGTGGCCATTGTACTGATGTAGATAGTACCACAATTTTTCATGCATTTGTCATGCTACTGCTTTGTGCACATTGGTACAGTCACTGACCAATTTTCCGGACCTGGCAGGAACCACAAAATAGCATGAAAAATCAAACACTCCGGAAAATGGTCAGGACATGAAAATTAAGTTAATTTGGATTAAAAAAAGCATATAAGCTCCAAATAATACCTTGCATCATGCTGTTCTTGAGTACTAGCGAAATTGATTATATTTGAGTTATGCCCTAGAAGCACACATTGTTGTCACAGTGTTGCGGCAATGTAAACTTCCAACATTTACTAAACATTGCTAATATTGACTTTTGGTCCCGTTCCCGCAACATTAAAAGGCAACACTGCCACACTTACGAAACGTTTTTTCAACGCTGCTTAAAAACTTCTGCAACATTTCCACAATCTTCTTGTCAACTTAACTGCATCATGTAGTAATGTTAATGCAACGTTTTTGCAATGCTGCAGGAAAGGTCCTACAATATTTAGGCAACCTTCGTGCAACTTAGGTACGGCATATATCAACTTGATGCAATAGTCTTGCAATGCTTGGCGTCGCATGGATTGACATTTTTCATGAGTATATTTATTTTTTTTGTGTGTGTTTTTTCCTTTCTTACCTTCCTCCTCACTCTCCTTTTTTCTCTCCTGTCCTCTAAGTCTACCCTTCCCGAAGCAGCAGGCAGGTGTCGTGCTCCTATAGATGACAGGTTTCAGCCCTTTCCCTCCCTATTTCCTCTGACTTTGTCTTTTTTATGTACACAAGCAAAATATTAATAAATTACGGCAACCTTTGCGACACCTAATAGCAACACACACTGACATTTTCGCGGTGCTGCTTGGATGTTAGCGCAATTTTAGGCAACTTTTTAGAAACTCAGCTGCAAGGTATATGCGACTTATTATTGTAATAATGTTTCATTGCTACTTCAAAGTATCTACAACGAGAAACATCTGAGTAATTCGCAACATATGCTAACTGTCAGGCACATTCACTTCAAGGCAATGGTGTGGTGTTTCGGGTTTTTTCTCATGCACTTCGCTTCTTCAACAGTAGGCATATCGATTCCATCATATCTAAAGAAAGAGCAAGTGACAGAGCGGAGCTTCCAATGATAGGGACGAGAATAATTTAACTTATCAATTTAGATAATAAATACTCATGCTTAACATCACTGCTCATGAGCCAACCTTACTTGTACAGCTACTTGCAGATCCAATTGAAGCCAGTGAATTGTTACAAGAATGCCAATATTTGTGAAATGTTGTAGCCAAACCAGCTTATATTAGTATGAATATATCACTGTCCAAAATAAATATTTCTCCATGTCTTTTACACAATAAATTCATCTCTGTGCTTGCGATATTTTCCAGCAACACATTTTTGAAGAGCAGTCATAGGTTATTCCATGATAACTCTGACAACGGTGAACTTCCTAGCAACATTGAAGATCCTCGACATGAGTTTATCAATCAGAGTAAACAACATAAAAAGTGCTGCAAAGATTTATTGCATGTCAATAAAGAAACGACACATAGGTTGTCATGTCAGCAGTATTGCAAAACCAAATTAATGGTACGCTAACTCGAACGCCGCGGGATCGAGTTTAGATATAGATACAGGAGCATGTTAAAGAACCCCAGGTGGTCAAAATTTCTGGAGCCTTTCTCTCGTAATCTCGTAATCACTTTTTCTCATAATTATTTGGTGTTGTCTTGCGACGTTGAACCCAAACAGTTGTTATCAAATTAACGCAACATGTCTTTCTTCAGGAAAAAAATTTTTACATTTTGCTCAAGATGAATGTACAAGTCCTGAACAGTGATCTAAAAGAGGTATTTCTATTCATCCATAGTCATCACAATCTTCTATGATGAGGCCCTTGTCGCTGCCTGTGTGATATTTACTATGAAAAGAGCTACCAATGTTGATCAATGCAGAGCCTGAACTCGTAATGAACAAGGCCACATTCACCAATTCCAAAACTGAAAAGGTTGACAAAACAATAAAAAAAACAAAACAAACACGCTATTGCTTGCTGGTCTTGCAGTAGCTAAAGAGTGCTTTACGAAGCATATGACAGGAGGGGATAGAGGAGACGAAACAGAGCGCCGAACTGGCAATTCGATTATTGCAAAAGTATTCACTTTCATACAGCCACCAGTGGCACCACTCATATGCAAAACACAATCATTATGCACAATTACACCACACCGCCAAGCAAAGAAACATTTCTTTATTGGTGAGCGTGAGAAAAGGCTGCTAACAAAATCATCTTTTAATGAACACATCTTTCCTGCCTTTATGATCTCGCGTGTGATGCTATCCTGCATGTTGCAACAATAGTACAATTTGAAAACTTGTCTGTTAATTTACATTAGAAGTATCAATATCAAAAAATAAAATACTGCACGCTACAACATAACGAGATCGTGTGAACCAACTCGGCCTTTTGAAGACATTCTATAGCAGTTTTGACTAGACTAAGTATCATCATCATCAGCCTGACTACGCCCACTCCAGGGCAAAGGCCTCTCCCATGATCCGCCAATCAACCCGGTCTTGTGCTTTTCGTTGCCACATTATACCTGCAAACATTTTATTGTCATCGGCCCACATAACTTCCTACGAAACACAAGAAAAGCTAGAAAACTTCTAGCAAATGTCCAATAAGGATAGTCCAAAGGTATATAAGAAGTCTTGTTGAGATGTTATTTAACCCTAAGCAGCTTGAAAACCTCCTGTAGCTGTGCTAATGCCATGTTACCGTCATCATGACTACAACATATGGCACAGATTAAACGCGCAATAACGCAGCAGGACTGGTGCCTATCTATCTACATGGCCACTTGCCACTATGTCTTAACATCAACCATTTTATTGTGATAACAATTATAAAGGGAGTCTCGGCTGGTTTTATTGCGAAAGCGTTTATATGGACACTCTCAGCTGGATTTTGCAGCCGGCATTGGTGTCGCCATCTCTCACCATATAAGTATACGTGTCTGTATGAAAACGCAAGAAAGAAAAATAATCCACAAAAAACTCTGTCGCACGGAATCGAGCGTGGGATCTCTGTAGTGTGAGTGCGGGGTGTTAAGCCCTGAGCTACGAAGGAGTACCTTCTTGAACGTTCACAGAGCAAGCTATTTATATCTACTACTTACCGCTGTAGCTGGGGGAACCATGGCCTCCGAAATGGAGGATGCACGGCGAGTTTCTCTCTGGCTGTACCAACTGCACAAAGAGAGCGTGCTTCCAGAGGTGGGCATGGCTTGCTCTTTTCTCTGCACCGCAGTGCTCCTTTGTATGGTAGAAAAGGCTGCAGCGCTGTTGGTGAAGCTTGCATGTGGCGAGAAAAAAAATGATTTTGCACTTTTATACAACTTCACACTAATTTCGGAATGTCGGGCCAAGGTGTATGAGTGGCAAAGGCAATGCTTGTGCGTATATATTCTCAAACCAGCTTTTTTTTTGTTGTAGATCTGCGCCATACTTATAAGTGCGATGCCTCTGCAAGAGATCTGTGTGTGCTGTAAACCTACTATACTTCGAAGTTACCGGGCTGCACAGTAAGGAGGTGGGCACTGGCGAAAAAGAAAAAAAAATGACAGCCTCATTCACAAGCGAAGTCAAAAAAGGGCCGCATTCTAGGCTTATGGATTACTCTTTACACTTGAATAAATTGTTTCCTTTTCTGTTTCTTTCATGGAACTAGCGCTGATGTTTATTGTAACGCTGTTTCAAGAATTCTTGCAGATGCTCTGATGTAATCACAGCTGCACCGCGATGCGGTTTTACTGCTTTTTAGAAGCCTTCTTTGCTTCTTAGGCCGGCACGTTTGCTGTCTAGCCGTGCTCAAATCAAATTGAATTTATTTCATTAATTATACAATATTGAACCACAACTGGTCTTCTCCATAGATGAGGCACGTTCAGTGGGACTTCTCTCAACGAGGAGAAAGGTGCTGATCGGCGCATGAGAGATAAGTGACAAAAAAAAATAATAAACACAGCTTATCCACAGAGTGAATTATGATAAGTGGGGTAAAGCGTCCGTGCGTGAGTTCATCCATCCTTAGCAGTACGACATATTCCTGAACTTAAAAGGAAGATACAAGGCTTCACGTGACTTTCTCTAATAGGAAGAAAAAAAACAACAGCATTGACATAGAGCATAAATTTTATAGCTGCAACCAGTCGGCAACCTAATTAATAAATTGCTACTATTGAATATAGCAATCATTTTCACTTC